AAAATGTATGGAATTCTGATATGCTAAATATATTAAAAGTTATATAACTGAATATAAGTTAATATTTCTGGAAACAAATATTATATTATAAATAATGTACCCGGACGCGCATCTGAATGTTAACGATTCTCTCGTAATTCGAAAAGAAAGTTTGATTAAATTAAGTTTATTTAGATGAACCAGAATATTTTAGCTTGACATGAACAATTTTCAACGCAGAATCAATAAATATTTATATAAAATATTTTGGTTTAGTTGCATACATTAATAGTATAAGTTATTTTAGTAACTGTATGATAAAATTAATTTAATTTGAGGTCTATTTCAAAAATGAATAATGTATTAAATATTGGCTTTATAAATACTTATTTTAGCAATTTATAAAATGTTGGAATCTTCAAAAAAATTGTTACGGAGCAAGGATATGGAACATTTTGATATGTTTTATATTGAAATAGTTAATTAATATATAAGCAGCTTATATTTATTAATGCATAATACGAGTTATTAATTTTAATAAATAATAGTATTGTTTTTCGAATAAACATAAGTTCATGTATTACACATTCATAATACAATATAATATTGAAAGCATTACGTTTTTCCGAACGTATGCGTGATCATCAGTTAAGTGAAGAAAATTTCGAGAGAATTGTAATAAAATATTATTAATTCCTGTAAAATAAAATTACGAACAATGTATCATAAGATCATAAGTTCCTGTTTGTATAACTTGGTTTATTCCTATTTATTTGTAGTTATTAAAATAACTATTGCGATTTATTGTTACGTTATTTATTGAAACATATATCGTAAATAGAAAGAGATAATTTATTTTATTATTAGAGTGTATGGGTTTTTGTAAATATCTTGTATAATACAATGTTTTTATTAACAATCTAAAAAAAGAGAGATATATATTTCTTCGCTTATCTACAATATATCTTCGTTTCGTGAGGAGCAATCCGTAATTACAACTCTGACTAGGATATCAAAAATTAAATAATATCCAAAAATAGATAATTCTTACACTTAAAGAAAGAGATTCCAGAAGCTATATAATTTCATCTATTCGTGCTCATTCATCGCATATCGCGTTTTACAAAAATAATATCATTCGCCAAGTTATCCAACTGTTCCACAAAACTATAAACGTAATATCCCCGCTGTTCCATCATATCGATCAGATACTTTCGTCCCTTCGGGTTGTGTATGTATTCCACAGATAGGGCCTAAAACGTACACGTACATCTCAATGTGCCGTGAAAATTATTACATTCCGTTAATGGAAACAGAAGGAACACGAAGATTCGGCGAGTAAATCCAGCTGCGCAAACAGAAATGTAGAAATTTCTGAATAAATCGCGTCGAGTATACGTGCCTTTATATCCACCTCGTTAAACGGGATTGTCTCTAGTACGTCGATTTCATTGCCTTCGATATCGAGACTGAAATAATCGATTGTCTTGACTCCCAATGCGGCGATGTAAAGTATCAATGGGAGGCACTGCACGCGGATGTGCTCGCCTGTGTGAGCCACGTCGAGCGTATTCGCGGATACGCTTTCCGTTGTATTCTCGGGCTCGTGCAGACGCCCCACGTTCCTCGCCATAAGAAAAGACGCCTGTAATTTCAAGAAACTCGTTACATTTTCCCATCGAAGGTTGCGTAATATCCTGAAGCTCGAATAACGTCCCGAAGTTTGAGTTAACATCCTTAGTATATACTAAGAAATCGAAGCTCGGGTTTCGCAACTGATAGCGCTGCCTCGAAGTCATCGTTAACGATGACAGGTCATTGATCATTATTCCTTACCACTGTGGGGCTCTTAATAACGCTGAGACACGTCGGCGAAAGATAAGCTCTTCTGTTCTTTTGGAGCATTTTTGTAAAATTGATGGGATCCGCTTCTATCAGAAGACCCGACCATCCATTAAATTGCTCCAGGAACAACGTGTTGCTACGCGTTTCCCCGTCGTACGCACCGCATTCTATGAAAAATCCATTTTTCTGTAGAGGGTAATAAATGAAATTTGCTATTTATTAATGTGCGAAGAGAATCTCTCCATCGGGCCTAAATACCGTGTTATTCGTTGAATCGTTTTGTATTCTTGCGAAATATCGTTTCTCCTGCATTTTCCATGAAATTATCGTAATTGTTTTACTACCTTATCATTGAAAATTTCGCGTATCACAGTCGATTGTCCCATCGATGGATCTTTAACATCCGGTTCTTGAAGAATATACGACTCGTTCGAATTATAATTCCATATTATCCAATCCTGTCGAATATTCGTCAATAGATCGTGATAAACTTCCGGATTCAGTGCGGATATACTTTTGTTGTTGTACCATTTTTCACCTAAATAATTAGTTTATTAATCATTGATTATTTTTAGGAATTTGTTTTTCAGATTAATCAAAAGAAATATGAAATTTGCAAGACACGCACTAATTATTATTTTTATAATATACCCGTATTATGTCACATTATTATTTAAAATAAGAAAAGGAAATTTTAATGTAAAAATTATAGCGTTTTCGATGACAAGCGATTTTATAATTTTTACATTAAAATTTCCTTGATTACTTTAGATAATTTAGGAATAATATCATGATAATAGAGCAGTTTTTTTTTCTCTCTCTTAACTTTGATAATATAATGCAACATAACGGGATTGCTCCAAGATATGATTACACACACACAAACATATATATATTCTTTTCTAAAATATTTTTTGCGATACTTCAATAATATTTTTTCTAGCTTAGACCAACAATTAAAATCTTTACGTGAATTAGTTATTATTCCTTGCATCACTATGCAAAACTCTTTTTAGTTAAACAAATTATGTTTTTTGGGAAATAAATATTTCACAGATGAACAAAAAATACAGCGTATTACGTAACTCTACAACGTTTAGTCATATTATATAATTGATACAAGTGATAAAACAGAAAAACATCTTATAAATATATAATATGGAACAATTTTTTAGAGATGTCTAAAAAATATGTTCAGTAGTTTTTTTATTTAATAAAAAAACAGGAATATTTAGATAAAACACATGATAATACTTAGTTAATAGGCATGTATGAATAAAAATTATCTATATCTTCATTATTCAAATTTATGCTATCAATTAATATCAAGATTTGAAATTGCTTGCTCTCGTAATAATAGATATAACTTATTCATCGTCTCATATTTCGAATATGAAGTAGTATCGCAATGTTGTTAATAATTCGCTTGTTAGTAAGTTGCAATAATACTATCGCACGAAGTTGTTATTTGCATAATACAAACGAGCACAGAATAACAGATCGTACGTTCAGTTATCGCATAGTACAAATATTATACGCGCGGGTCACATTCCGCTAATTATACTCAGGAATCTCAGAATACTCAGGATCTAACAAAGTATCGATAATGTATTTTAGCAACACCATGACAAATTTTTCGACGTCGAATTACAATTCTACATTTATCGGATTAATTTTTTCTCCATTAATAAAAAGATTAACTACGGAAAAAGATTCCATTATCGTCTCGTTTATTATACATATGAACCGCATTCGCTAAGGCAATAAAAAAAAAGACGAGTCTCATACTTTTTCTTTCACGATATCTGTTCACTAAATATCGTCTAATAAATTTATTAGAACCACTTACCGGCGGAAAAGTTATACCAAGTCCCCAGCACTGTAATAACGACAAGAAGAAGATTATTACTTCTATCACGAGATACGTGGGAAAAAAGGAAACAAATTCGCAGAAAATCTCACCAGTTTGGTAAAGTTCTTCGGATACATCGTCCAGGTATGTGTCGCGTTCCGTAATGTTTGCCTCGCGAACAGTCGGATAACTCGTGAAAAGTACGACAACGATAACACACGAAGTCAACGCAATCAAGAAAGCCCACTTTCGACGCCAGCAATAGTTCAGGACAACACGCGTGTGCTGCACGCGTTGGTAGTTACACGCGTTGGTTGGCATCGTACTAACGTGAGAGAAGCCGAATAGCTTCTTCCACATGAGTCATGAACGAGCGAAGGAATCGGCAGGAAGTCTCATTGCGGCTATTGCACACGCGCGACTTATCGTCAACATTTTAATATCCATTTGTTAATCTTTCAAAGTGACAATCAACGCTAATTATGATTTATTAAGTGCATTGTTGCACGAGACTATATGATAACTATCACGTTAATGATTACGAGTAATTATTATGAAATGATATATTCTTAGGGCTAATAAAACAACGAAGCAAATATAAAAAGAAATGTTTGTTTCATAAGTTTATATTATAATTTTAGTAAAAAATCGACAAATATTTTCATCTCTGGCACTTTTGTTAAATACATTCAAGAATCTGTTGAAAATAACTTTGTATATGTTTCTTTTATATTTATGGCCTCGTATGTAACGTCTAAATTTAAACTGATCAAAACAATCGTTATTTATTCGTTCCATTTTAAGCTAAATGCTACAGAGAAATCTTTCGGAGAAATCTTAATTTGCATTTTTAATATACAAAAAAAAATGCTAAACATTTAAAATATATTCAAAATATTACATATACAATATATATTAAATGTTTAGCATTATATAT